CTATAAAAAGAAAAATATACAAGTTATTAATCATAAAAAAAATATTTCAATATGGAAGCAATAATCTAGGTTAACTTAATAATGCAAGTAATGTTTTCTAGCAGGTGCTAACTTTTCGTAGGACCCTTCTTTTTTCACTATCTACATTCATTTACTGTGTATGATGATCGAGTACAGTGCGGTCAAATAAATACTGCTAGGGATTAGGGTTGGTTTTGACTATTTCACCAGAATTTTTCTTTCTTAGACAACATAGATAGCCCAACCCATCTCTCAATACCGGAGGGCCCAAAAAATAAAGCTTTCAAAGGCCTATAAGACTCATTGTTACTGGTTAAGACCAAGTTCTGATTACAGTGATAATGTTTTTTATAAATTATTCTAAACCAGTTGCCATCCAAGGCTATATATATATATAACCTATATATATATATATATATATTTCATCAGATATAAATACACACACCTAAAAAATGATGTCTTGAGCAATTATATAAAAATTGCAAACCAGTGACAATATGGGAATAAAAGCTTTCATCAGTTTCAAGCAGAACCTCCATGGAAAGAATAACTTGACAAATAAAAATTATCAGAAAAGAATTTTGAAACTCCAGAAAGACAGTTCCCCAATATTTTTTATTTTTTTTATTTGGAAGGGGATCCCCTTCCAAACAATACTTTTTCCTCTTCTGCCAAACTTACATCCTCTGTACAATAAGCCAGAAAATATGAAATTCAGTTTTAGAATATCTGTTTAGTATTATATTTATTGGCTTTAATATTTTCATTGGTTTTGTGCATGAACTCATTTTTTCAAAGTACTGTTAATTTGTAAAAGTTTAAAATAAACAATCATCTGGGGTTCAGAAACAAATTAATCCCTGGGAAAATCGTTTCAGTTTACATACAAACCTTCAATAACAAGAATTAGATTCAGGAATCGAAAAATTCCACTAAATTTGCATATATTATAGAGAATACTTTTAAAATTGTGTTTTTAAAGTCAATTTACACAAATACAAGTCTAGATTATGCAGTAACAACTCAACAAAATATTTTCCACCCACTTTTTAATACACCTATCATCTTTTTAGATAAAACAGAATGAGAAAAAAATAAAAAAATAAATGCTTTAATAAAAAGAGTTGGTCAGATGAAAAACTGTCAAACTATGGGGCTTGTATTTGCAATATAGTTTGGCTGATGAGTTTTATGGCATCAACCTCAACTGCATCATATGATGTTGAAATTATACTTTGGGAAATTTCGGGGGTAGTAAACATTTGTCATGAACATTCCCAAGTCTCCAAGGATCCAATAAACAAAAACCCCCACTTGGAAGAATGTCTTTACCCTCCTGCAAGTGATGCACTAAACATAAATCAGAACTGGTCTGAATTTCTTCTAACTCAAGTATTTTTTCAAGTTATGATCATTTGAATGAATCAAAAAAAATTTTACAGATTGTTCGGGATAGTTGCAACATAATTTTTTTTGTATTTATCAAAAAAAAATCATCTAGACCTATATTTTTCCATTTTTTTTTTTTTTAGGGGCTGAATTGAACTTTTGGCACTCAAACTCCCAAAATTTTTTCTAAAATTTTTTTTTAATACTTTTCATTTTTTGACTTCACTGCAGACTAACATTCTGAACTTAAACCCCCTATTTTTAAGTTAGAAATGTGAAATTTTTATTTCAATCTTCCTTTTAGTATTAAATTTAAAGTTAAAAAGCCCAGAATCATCCAAGCATGCACCTTGCAGAGAAAAACACTATCAGCAGGTCCCACAACCCTTCATCTACTTAAAAAGATTAATTACTGCAAAGAAATTAGCACTCATGCATCATTTAACATATACTAGCAGTAGAGCCCCCTTCGTTGCCGGGATGTAACAGTAAGAGATAGATCAAGTATCGACATCATTATAAAGACTGAAAAATAAAATTGACAAAGATTATTGTTTATGGTTGACGGACATGCATGTCTTAATTAGTTTTTTTTTTTCTGTCTTTTTTTTTGTTTTTTTTTGTAATTGTCAAACCCAAACTCAAACAAAAAAATTGTTTTCAATCGTTAAAGTCTACCGATTGAATAAATTTTATTATAAACAATTGTCTTGTAAATGGAATTTTTAAAGCATTCTGAATGTAAAAAAAAAGAAAAAAAAAATGCAAGACAATAAGAAACACTACCTGCCAAAAAAAAAAAAAATAAAGTTTTGTTGAAATCGGTTGAAAATTTGTAGCCAAATCCGATCCCATATATAAATGAACACACACACACACACAAAACAACCTGGGTTTTATAATAAGTATCTTTCGATATGAGTTGTCCCCTTTCATTCTCAACAGATGCCTCTTAATCATGTTTTTCAAATTGATTTCGTGCAAAAAAGTTGTTGTGTTTTTCCAATTTTTGGCTCAACAGAACCACTGCAAGGTAATTTTACAGTCCTGTGAAAGTTTTGTTGAAATCAGTTAAAAAACACCAGGAAATCTGATCCAATATATAAACATTACAGACACACACACACACAACCTGGGTTTTATAATAAGTATGATGTCATACAGTGCCTAAATTTTTGTCCAAAGAAATTGGAACAAATCAGTTATATATAGGGTTTTTAATTTCATCCAAATTAAATTGTTGATAATTTTTAACAGCATCATTTCTTTTTGGACATGTTAATCTCTTTCAGACAAATCCTCTGGCACTGAAGAAATGATAAATTTTTTTTTTCACCAAAAAATCCACAGCTCAAAATTGTATCATGAATAATCACAATGAACTTGACAACACATCCCAATGAAGGAAAAAAAATTGAGACTACACTAAAGTGTAGACTAACCCCCAATGGTATTCAACATCTAAAACAATTGTTGCTTTAAATATAACCAAATTCAATGCACAAATGAGGTCTGGTTTCAATAAAAGTTTTCAAATTATAACATTTTTCATGATTGTTTCTAAATTACTTTCTTCCCTAATTAACCTATCTTTGCTAAATTATTCCTACTAAAAGATCTGTGAAAATTTCAGTTTTTCTTATTTGAAAAATTAAAGTCATCAGAAAGTTTTAATAAAAATCAAAATTGAAAAAAAATGAAATTTTGCAACAATAAAATATGTATAGAAATTTCCCTATCATTTTCTTAAATATCAGAGCTTAAAACTTTAACAAAATATTGCAATAGCAATCATGAATAATTATGCTGGTCATTATTTTAAGAAAAGTGGGTACAAATGAAAAAATTTGAAATTGACAACTTTTTCCATTTCACTGTTCAACACTTCTTCTTACCTTCTTTCTTTTTCTCACTGAAAACAAATAGCGTATGTCATGTTTTTAATGGGGCCTAAAAAATGGAATAGTCTATTATCTAATAGGTATTGGTAGGAGAAAAAAAACCTTTCTATCTTCTCGTTCTTAATTTTTCATTTTTCACGGAAACCAAGTAATGTCTCTTCCCCTCTTTCCACAATCAAAACAGAATAGTCCATTATTTATTTTGGCAAAAAGCGTAAAATGTTCTGAAAATTTTAGGAGGGCCAAACACAATAATAATAGGATGATGACAGTGAAGGCAAAAAAGCTTCCCATTTGGAAAAAATTAATTCATTGAATATTACTCACTTGTTGAGTTTGTATGAGAACAAACAAAAAATGGCATTGATTACTTTTTGTCTCTTTTCTACACAACCTGCAGGGGATTTTTTTAATTTCACCAAAAGGAAAAAATGTGAATGCAAATTGCCAATGTTAGATTGTGTTTTCATGAAAAAATTCGGTTAGTGTTGGGCTTGTCGTCTGGGTCTGAGGAAAACACAACAAAAATGATTTTGCAGATTTCATTCATGAAATGTTTTTTTAGTTTGGAAAAAGACTTATATACATGGCAAGACCTGCAAAAATAAGGAAAAAAAAATATCATCAACAAAGTATTTATGAACTGATTAATAAATTTAATCGAAGAAAAAATAAAGGGCTGAAAAATTACCTAAAACCTTTCAAAAATAATTTTATCTATCAAAATAGTAACAAATACAATATTTGAAGATTTTAAAAAAAAAATTTTTTCTAGCTTTTATGTGTAAAAAAAAAAAAAAATCCCAGTGTGATTGAGGGTAAAAAAACTCATTATCAATTTTATTAATATGTTTCATTGAGGGATCCCTCACTACTCCTTGTTAAAGCTTTTTATGTTCATTAAATATACACAATTTCTTTTCTGAAATAATTTCAAATCACATTGTTAAAATAAAGGGTTGGGTTTTAAAAGGGTTTCAAGTGAATATGAGAGGATGCTGTAAAAGTATTTTTTGATCAGCCTTTCTGGTGTAAATTCCAATGTTTTTCCACTAGAACATGATTTTTTTTAAGTTCAAACTCCTCATTTCACTATCAATTAAGAAATATTAAAAAGACTATCAGATTAAATACATATTATTGAGACTATCAGATTAAGATTTTATTTTTAATCTTATTTTTTTTTTAAGAATATTATTTAACAACCAGATTAAGAATATCAGCATTATTTAGATTTCAATTATTAAGACAATCTTTAAAAAAATTTTTAATATTAAAACAAAATTCTCAACATATTTGATATTGTTTATCTATTAAAATGTTTAGAACATTATGTCACAGCTGTTTGAGGTTTCCTACAGACCCACTGAACTTAAATAAAGTCAATTCAGGTTTCCTATGGTAAAAATTTTCTTTCCCAAGTGAAAATCATCACAAAAATAGCAAAAGTCATTTTGTCACAGCTTATTTTCTCTCAAAATATGGGTTTTCATACTTTTTTAGGGGTAAAATATTGAAAAATGACTGTTTTATCATCACCTAAACGAATATCAAGGAAACTTTTGATCTGAACCCCATGAAACTAGGTATTTTCTGAAAGCAAAAGATATATTCTTTCATTTAAAAGTAAAATTAGCTGGTGTAAATGACTCAAAAATTTTTTCAGTGGGTAAAATGTGAAAAAAATAG